ACCATTTTTGGGTTGGGGCTGCAGAGCCACAGAAAAATCAGTCGGGGGCTGTACACAAGTGAGAAGCGACGGGGGAGGGCTGGAGCCAGTGTAGGCTCTCCAATGCTGGGGGGGGAGGCTGAGTTTCGGGGGCCCACCTCTAAGCAAGCTGGACGCCGCGTCCAGGCCTGCGGTTTCCACCCCTGGGATGGGGCATAGAATCCGAAAAATGGAGGTGTGGAAGGGATCTCAGGAATTCACGTCCAGTGCCCTAGATTTTGGTGGGACCAGGTCAGCCTAGATCATCCCTAATGGCTGTTGGTCAAACTTATTTGTAAAAGCTGCAATGATGGGGAGCCTCTAAGCAAGCTGGACGCCGCGTCCAGGCCTGCGGTTTCCACCCCTGGGATGGGGCATAGAATCCGAAAAATGGAGGTGTGGAAGGGATCTCAGGAATTCACGTCCAGTGCCCTAGATTTTGGTGGGACCAGGTCAGCCTAGATCATCCCTAATGGCTGTTGGTCAAACTTATTTGTAAAAGCTGCAATGATGGGGAGCCTGCCTTGGAAGCCTATTCCAGAGCTTCACTACCCTACAGGTCATGCATGGGGAACCTCAGACTTGCCTGGATCCAGCCCCCAAGGCTCAGCGTTGGGGAACCTGCGCTGATGCTCTAGCCCCCTACCGGCAGGGCTGGAGCTCCCAAACTCTACTAGCCTGGCCCCTCTAGGAACTAGTGTGTGAGGGGAATTGGGGAGTGTCTTTCTCCTTCTGTCAGGGGCTTCTCACTTGATTTTTCTGTGGGTCAGCAGCCCCCTTCCCAAAAAAGGTTCCCCATCCCTGCTTTAAAGTGTAAGGCCCTAGATGGATTTTTCTGTGGGTCCACAGCGCTGACTCAAAAAAGGTTTCCCCAGCCCTGTTATAGGTAGAAACATCGTCTTACTAGCTAACTTAAACTGTCCTTGCTGCCAGTTAAGCCTGTTACTTGTCATACCTCAGTGGGCCTGGAGAACAATTGATTGCCAGCCTCTTCATATTGACCCTTAACATATTGAAAGATGGTATCAGTTTACCCCTCAGTTTTCTTTTCTCAAGACTAAACATACCCAGTGTCAGTATTTAACCTGTCCCCACAGGTCAGGCTTTGTAGCCTTTTATCATGATTGTTGCTCTCCTCTAGACTTTCTTCAGTTTGTCCACATTTCTCTTAAATTGTGGTGCCCAGAACTAGGCACAGTGCTCCAGCTGGGGCCTCCATAGTGCTGAGTAGAGAAGGAGAGCTGTCTTCTTGCCTTACGTGCACCACTCTCATTAATACCCTGCAGAATTAATCAGCCTTTTCTGCAGCTACATCACATTGCTAACTCGTATTCAATGTGTGGCCTGTCCCCTCGGGCCCCCAAATCCTTTTCAGTAGTGCTATCAGCGAGCCAGTTACTCCCAGTTGTGTAACTCCCTTTTCTTTCTTTGTCTTCCTAAGTCAAGTACTTTGCACTTGTCTTCCTTTCTTTTCAT